TTTGGCCTGAACAAGTGAAAAGATGGAATTGTTATACACTGAGACGGAGACCGTAGGAGGAGCCTGTCTAAAGAGGAATATTGGGAGTCTGGTTTTTGAAATATTAATTTTGTGACGCCTTATAGAAACCCCAGTGGGGATGTTAGGTAGGCAGTTGAATAGATGAGATTGAGTTTGGGGACTAGGTCTAGGATAAAGAGGTACATTTGAAGGTCAGAGGCATATAGATGGTATTGAAAGTAATAAGACAGGATAATATGACCACTATAGTGAGTCAAGATAGAAAAGAGGTTTGAGAACTAAGCTTTGGTACCCTCTAACCTTTAGATGAAAGGAGATGAGAAGAATCAGAAAGGAGACAGAGAGAGAACCATCAGGCCATTAGGTAGAACACCAACAGAGCATAAACTAAAGAAAGATTTAAGTCAAAACTTACAGTTTCTTGGGGCGGCTGGGTGGCTCAGTCAGTTAGGAGTCCCATTTCGGCTCAGGTCATGATCTCTTGGCGCGTGAGTTTGAGCCCCCACCGGGCTCATTTCTGTCAGCCTGTCAGCACGAAGATCCTCGGTCCCCCTCTCTCTGCCCCTCCCCTGCTTGCATTCTCCCCAAAATAAATAAATATATTAAAAAAATTTTTTTTTACTACTTGTGGTCACTTCATTACCTGTCAGGTCTCTTGTCCCTATTTTCCAATGACCCATTATTTCCTCTAAAATAAGAATAATAATTCTTCCTAATCGTCCATTATTTTTCTAAAATAATAATGATTCTTTGCCAAAAGTGTTCATTTTCTAGAATTCCCTCCCCTATTCTCTCAACAATTTTCCATCTCGGTTCAACAGAAAATCCTCCAAGAAGGCTTTGCGGATTCCCCTCCCCAACCACACCTTCTCTTGTTTGGGCCCCCTTAGCAGTCAGTACATACATCGTTTTGGGATTTATTTTTCTTTTCAATACTCATCCCAGGACATTCTTTTTCTTTTTCTTTTTTCTTTTCTTTTTTTTCTTTTTTTTTTTTTTTTGGTCTGTTTTGATCTACTCTACTAAACTATTACCTCCTCAAAATTAAGATGATGTTTAATTATTTCTTTTCTCTCTAGCACATGATAGGCACTCATGCATTATTAGTTGAATAAGAAGTAAGTAAATACATACACCCATATGTCTGTGCGTATGTAGGCAAGAAACAGTTACTTATAGAATGGGTTTATTAGCCAGAGTGAAAGAACGTAAAGAGAAAATAGGAGCAGAAACACACGTGAGAATTAAGTGAAAAGAAAACAGGTGAATGCCTATCAGTTTGGATACACCCAAGTCAACTCAAATGGACAATGGGTGCAGGGTAAAAACAATGATCCATCAATAATAAATCCGACGATCCCGTCCGTGAGAAATTAATTCCATGTTTGATGTATACATTACACTGAGGAGCAGTGAAGTCAATATTCATCCTCCTGATGATTGTCACTTCCTCTTTTTCGTGACAGATCAGCAAAAATCTGGTGCAAAGTTGGGACACCTGTGCTCTGAAAGGATTACGTCACCCAACGTGCGTTTCCTACCTTTAAAGTGAGGAATAAATCTTGTCTGAAAAATACTTTTCATTTTTAGCTCTTTTTTTTTCAGCTCTTTCCCAGAGGGCGGTCCTAGGAAAACAAAACCTAAAATCACGTTTGCATTTGCAGCCCTGGACTCTAGCGCATTGTAACACACCCCTCCTCCACCCACGCAGCCCACCCCTACAATTCCTAGGTCTCCAACACCTACCTGAGCAAGCTCAACCTTATTCAAATTGCTTTCCTGGGCAAAGAATGTAGTTAAGTTTGCCTTCTAGCTACCAGCCCCCTTCCCTTTGGTCTTTCTCTCCGGAGGCTCCGACCCTAGATACAATAAGACGCAGATGGGGGAGGGGTGACTTCAGCCAGGCTTTCATGCAAAGATCCCAGTCAGCAAAGAACAAAGCTTCTGGTACCTGCAGTTTAGAGAGCTGTGGGCAAAGTAAGGCGTCTGGCGGCCTTGACTGTACTCATTTACCAACTGTGCGAATTGAGAGGCAGGAAGTCAAGTTTTCCGTGTCTTTTTTTTTTTTTTTTTTTTTTAACCTTCATTTATTTTTGAGACAAAGAGAGAGCATGAACGGGGGAGGGTCAAAGAGAGAGAGACACAGAATCTGAAACAGGCTCCAGGCTCTGAGCTGTCAGCACAGAGCCCGACGCGGGGCTCGAACTCGTGGACCACAAGATCACGACCTGAGCTGAAGTCGGAGGCTCAACCGACTGAGCCACCCAGGCGCCCCTTCCGCGTCTTAATTTACTTTTCTCCCGGTTTTATTGAGATGTAATTGACTTATGACATTGTATTAGTTTAAGGCGCACAGCATAATGAACTGATGTACGATATGTTGCAAAATGATTACCACAATAAGTTTAGTACACATCCAACATTACATTCCCTTGATTAAAAGAAATCATATTCTATGGGGCCACCTGGGTGGCTTAATCGGTTAAGCATCGGACTTCGGCTCAGGTCATGATCTCACAGTTCGTGAGTTTGAGCCACATTGGACTCTGTGCTGACAGCTCAGAGCCTGGAGCCTGCTTCGGATTCTGTGTCTCCCTCTCTCTCTGCCCGTCCCCACTCATGCTGTGTCTCTCAAAGATAAATAAAAAAACATTTAAAAAAGTATAAAAAAATCATATTCTATTTGTAATGAGACAGAGACTGTCTGCCTGAGCACACTGTATTTCCACCCATCTTTTCCTTGATGTTCCTGTTTGTATTCTTTTCCCCTCCAGCAGGACGGTCTGAGAAGACAAAGAAAAGATTACATAGAATTTATCTCCATGCTTTGGTCCCAGCAGTACTCCTATGCTCACGAATTGGCATCCTCAAGTTATGAGCAAAACTCTCTTTGCGTGGAAGCAAAGCCAGCAGCTCTAGGTGGAGACCCAAGTAGCAGAGAATGTGACAGGTGTAATCAGCTTGCAGCTCAGAAAAATATGTAATTGGAATTTGCTAAGGGTTTACTTTTAGGGGTGGGAGATTGGAAAAGAGGAAGAAATGTTAGGCTTCGCCAATATTAATGTTTTTAATGTCTATTTTTATTTTTGAGAGAGAGAGAGACCGTGCAAGTGGGGGAAGGGCGCAGAGAGAGGGAGACACAGAATCCGAAGCAGGCTCCAGGCTCCAAACTGTCAGCACAGAGCCTGACGCCGGGCTTGAATTCATGAACCTTGAGATCTTGACCTGAGCCAGTTGGAAGCTTAGCCAACTGAGCCACCCAGGTGCCTCAGGTTTCTTTAATATTGAATTCGGGAGTGGGGAGGAGAATTGAAAGCTGCAGACTGTTATCTTTGTCTATAAATATGTACTGCTAAAACCGAACCCTAAAAACTGCTCCTTTGGAAAATTGACTGAAAACAAAGAAAAAAAAACTGAAACCGGGGATGGAGTAGGATTGCAGGACATGACAGAATTGCCGGGCCAGGGAAGGAAAAGCTAATGTAAAAAAGAGCCAGAGAAGGAAAAAGAGGCCGACTTCGGCTCAGGTCATGATCTCCCGGTTCAGGAGTTCGAGCCCCGCGTCGGGCTCTGTGCTGACAGCTCAGAGCCTGGAGCCTGCTTTGGATTCTGTGTCTCCCTCTGTCTCTGCCCCTTCCCTGCTCACGCTCTGTCTCTCTCTATATCGCAAAGATAAGTAAACATTAAAAAAAAAAAAAAAGAAGAAGAGACGGGAGGTCCAACACAGATTCTAAAAGAAACTTGTCGCAAATGTGTTGGCAAATCCATTCACAGGAATATCATTTGCTTGGAGGATGTTCTCTACCTTCCTCTTTTCAGTTGGGTTGGTTTACAGATCAATAAATTTCATTATTTTAGATCTAGGAACTTCCCAGATGAAATAAGGAAGGACTGCTCTCAATCTATCATGTTGTTCGCTGCATGAAAATAATAAACACAACAAAAAGGTAATTTCAAACTTGGAGCTCATGAGCATAGGCTAAAGACAGAATTCCTATTAATAGCCCCCATTTGTAGATCGCTGAGTGTCAAATATTATGAGGATTTAGCACTTTATTTCCTCTAATTTTTATAGCAACACAGACAAGGTACAGATGAGGAAACTGAGTCAAGATTCTATCCAGCCACGCATGTCTAAAAACTACTGAAAATTTTTCCATACTGGTGGCGAATGCATAATTACCTACGAGGCACCAAAGTCAGCTACAGATCAGCAGGCCACAGGTCCCCTCCTCTGGCTTTTGTTAAAGGAGACAACAGTCCTGGGGCAAAGACAAGCCTGTCTCTCGACAGCTAAAAAACAAGAGGAGGGAGTTGAAAACAAGTACTATTTTTAACATCCACTGACGCCTTAGCAACATACAGTGTGCGTCTTATTGTGACCTTTGGGGGACTCAGGAGGAAAATAGAGCTATGTGGTTGGAGCTTCTGCCATAACCAACTCGATGTTGAGGCCCTACGGGGCCTTAGATCAAGATATTAACTGCCCGAGTGGAAGATTCAATCGTCTGAGGTGCCTCAAGTGCATCTTTGATTTTAAAAGACGGAAACGTGGTGAACCCAGAAATATTTAATTGCCGGGTTTACTTTTGCTCCTAGGTCCTGTGGCCCCAGTTTACCCGTTCCCCACCCAGTCTGGACTACCCGGCAGCTACCTTTTGCATGACAATGGCCTTGGTGAGACTGGCAGACAGGATTAACTGAGAATTCTCGAGGGTGTGTGTGGGCGTGGGGCTGTCGGGAGGGGCGGGTCTAAGGATGGGCGAGCTTTCCTTATAAATCCAGAGCCTCCAGAATCTTCACCTTTTGCTAAATTGGGTTGGTTGGTGCTTGGCCCTTTTGGTGGTGACGCCACTGCATCCTGTCTTTCTGATACTCTTACATCTGGAGATCTTCAGATTTCTCTTTTAAGTTCTTCCACCTAGACACGTAAGCCTGCATCTCCCTCTTTTTTTTCTCTCTTCCCTCCACTCGGCAACATGAATCCAGCTCAGCCCCAATGCCCGCCTTGCCCCGAAGCGCCCGATTCTAGGGACTCTTCTCCAGTGCCTGAGATTGATGGGCCTGAAGACAATTACGCACCCTTGCAAATGTCATCTGCTGAGACCCCCCACACGGAGACCGGTAAGAGAAAATTAATCCTTGAAAGGCTGATTACCTTGAGGGAGAGTGAAATCTGAGGAGGGGAAGGGTCATTCGTTTTGCTCTTGAGCAATTACAGCCCATTCATGAAAGCAGGTGTCCTCTATTAAGCCTCTCGACACCTGTCCCAGTTGTAACTTGGTGGGTGCGTGCCCTTTCACCCAGGTCCCAGGTGTCAGGTAAGCGACAAGGGCCGCAGGACGCTGGCATTTCAATGGCTCACTGGATAATTGAGGCATTAGGTGCATAGGCCCTGTGGAAACACAAATGTGTTGTGAAAAATGAGTTGATATATACATCTTAACAGACTGGGTGCTGAGCACATAGTAACAGTAAATGTTACTATTAAGTCAGAAGTGCTAACATCACAGCTAGGGGTAGGGGATGCCATGAGCATCACCGTTTTGATTTGCCGGGTTTTCAAGGAGTTCCAGAAATGGCGTGGCTAATTATGAATCGCGCCTTGTTGAAAAGTTCTACCTTCGTACAACAGCGGCAGTGGCTCTCCTGCCTCTTTGGCTCCGTGGGTGTTAACTGGGGCAGCTCCGAATTTCTGAGAGCCTGCTATGCTCAGGTCCCCTATATCCTGAGGAAATGTCCACCCCATTTTATGGTAGAAGATCCCAGAAGGTTTAACCTGCTGACATTCAGGGGCGAGAGCCCAAATTTGAAACCCAGGTTGGCTTCCACATGGTAATCGCAGGGGTGGGGGATGATCAGTTTGCTGTGAAGTCCGCACCGCTTTTTTGTGAATCAATTCGGCAGTAATTGTTAAAAATGAAAACGTAAACGAATGTTTACCCGAGAAAAACCACTTTTAAGATTCATGGTAAAAATAATCGTTTAAACATTGTTTACATGATTACCCCTAAAACCAAGCTGTTGGAGAAGGACTAAGAAACTGCTTTATTGGATTGTTGGATTTTAATGTTCCCCGGTTTTCCTAAACTTCATGTCGATGCCCTTTTATAATTCCGAACATTGAAAATACAGCGCTGGATTGTGAGAAATGGCTCAGGAATGAGCAAGTGGGCGTGTCCTCAGCAAGCCAAGTGCAAGTTTATAGAGACCGGTTTTTTTAGGAGATGCCCCCACTGAAGTCCTTGGTCTCGCCCACTTACAAGAAGCACAAGATTGTGAATTTTTGCCTCGTAAAGGCTGTCTCTTTATTCCATGACTAGGGTAGACATTAAAGAGTTTAAACGGCTACTGAATCTAGGCAATATAATATTTTTTTAGTTTTTTTTGGAGGGGAGGAATCACGCACGTGAGCGGGGCGGGGGGGGGGCAGACAGAGATGGAGACAAATGGTCCAAAGCGGACTCTGCTGACCGCAGAGAGCCCAATGCGGGCCTGTCGAACCCACCAACCCGGAGATCAGGACCGGAGCTGAAGTCAGACACTTAACCGACTCGAGCCACCCAGGCGCCCCTAAACTGTGGATTTTAAAGGGTCCCCAGAAACTGACCCTACAGTATTAAATATGATGTAGGGGATGATTAACTTTACAAAACGAAGTTAGGAAGGGACATGATAGGGGCGGTGGGGGGAGGGGACTCCAGTGATCATTCCCACTTTTCTGAACAGTCACAGCATGGACTCTTGAGCATCGATTTGCAGTAGAAAGCTTTTGTCAACGAGGTTTGAGGAGCACCTGGCTGGCTCGGTCAGTGGAGCATGTGACTCTTGATCTCAAGGTTGTGAGTTCGAGCCCCATGTTGGCCATAGGGATTACTTAAAAATAAAATCTTGGGCCACGGCTAAAGAGTTGAGATTAAGTGGCATCCCCATTTCGGCTCAGTTAATTACCCCGCGTGGGCTCAAACTGCCAGGATCACTTATTCTCTTTCTGCCCCCCGCTCTTTCTCTCCCAAATGCACATGCTCTGCTCTGTCAAAAATAAACAAACATTAAAAAGTAAAGTCTTTAAAAAAAAAAAGGTTGAGTCCCACTCTGCTTCCCAACTAGTAAGCCATTGGCCATGTCCCTTGGTTGTAAGATGGCATCGACTAGTAAGTTATTGGATTGGCATCCTATAAAGATCGGCGAAGTGTTCGGGGGTCACTCATTTCTTGAGTTGAAATGACCACCATTATCACCTCTAAGTTTTTACCTACTACCTGAGGTTGAGGGCTCTCAAAAAATGCTTCGACAACCACAGGTTTGCGAATGTAATTTGCTATTTGAAAGATTTTAGAGAAAAGTGTTGTTTTATTCCCAACAGTCTCTCCTCTTCCTTCCTGCATGGATCTACTTGTTCCAGGACGTATTCTTACCAGCCCCAGAGTGTGCCCACTTCTGCAGAGGAGATCACCGCGAAGAAGGACGATCCAGCTCAGGGCAAGAAACAGAAGATCAGAACCGTCTTCTCTCAGACCCAGCTATATGTACTCAATGATAGATTTCAGAGACAGAAATACCTCAGTCTCCAGCAGATGCAAGAACTTTCCAACATTCTGAACCTTAGCTATAAGCAGGTAGAGTTTGCCTACTTGTTCTTGCACTGCGAAATAAAAAACCCAATTTGCAGATGAGCATTTCCTAACATCTGTGTGTGCATCTGTAGGCTTAGGTACCGCCTACAGATAATTTTCATATGCGAGTAGGATCTTTGCAATGTTTCGTGACCATTTATTTTTTTATTTTTTTTTAACATTTATTTTTGAGACAGAGAGAGACAGAGCATGAACGGGGGAGGGTCAGAGAGAGAGGGAGACACAGAATCCGAAGCAGGCTCCAGGCTCTGAGCTGTCAGCACAGAGCCCGACGCGGGGCTCGAACTCACGAATCGTGAGATCATGACCTGAGCCGAAGTCGGCCGCTCAACCGACTAAGCCACCCAGGTGCCCCCCGTGACCATTTTTTTAACGTTGTAATGTGTTAATATGCCATGGTTTATTTAACCACTTTTCCCTGTCGCACAAGCCAAAGTCATGAAAATGTTGGCCGATTTTTCCTTAATCAAAGGAGATGCATGTATTCCCATCTTCCAGGTTAGGAGAGTCCCTAACCAACACTGCTCCTCATTAAAATAAAACTGGAATCTCTTGTTTGTGTGCATTTCACTACTAGCGAGGTTAATCATTTTCCATATTCTTGCATATTTTGCAGTCCGATATTGTGTGGTTTTCTGTCACTGGTGCCATACTTAGTCTAAGTATATAAATACTTCTGGTCCTCCTTAATGTCATTTTCTACCTTATACTTTACAAATCACCTGGAAATTTAAGCTTCTTGGATGCTTAAATAGATTTGATATTTTCCAAATAGTTGTCCTTGTGGTATATTTCATATTTCTTGAGTTGAAATGGCCACCATTATCACGTTAAATGGAAGTGTGCTTATGGGGGAGCCTTCTTTATTGCAGACAAAGTACCTTTAGCTGACTACTGGCGTGGGTAAACTATGAAAAGGGAGATAGGTAGACATTTAATGTGAACGTTCTAGAATAGATAGGCAGTGGTTTTTCTCAAACTGGTTCGGTTTATTAAAAAGCAGCCAACTGACTTGAGGGGCTGTGACATTCATTCATAGAGAATGGTGTCAAGATTTCAGAAAGGACTCTAGAAGTTTCAGTTTTCTGAGCTTTAAATAGTTGTAGTTGCGGGCGGGGCGGGGGGGGGGAGGGGAATTGTTAACAATATTCTTTGATCCCTACTACATCCACATTACTGGTGTTTTATGTTTTCCTGTTTTCCTGTCACCTTTTTCTTTGTAGGTTAAGACCTGGTTCCAGAACCAGAGAATGAAATGTAAGAGGTGGCAAAAAAACAACTGGCCAAAGAATAACAACACTGTGACTCAGGTAACAGGAAACATATTTTCCTCCTCTTTTTTTTTTTCAAGTAGGCTCCA